AGACGGATAGTGACCCACGCGGGAGCCTGGACACGGTCGAATGGCCCCGAGAAGTGAGCACAAACGACGAAACGCCACCACGCCTATACAAAATTAGGCGGGACGATGATCCGACGGATCCAAGAAATTGAGGGAATTAATTAGAAACCGAACCAGAAAGAGGAGGGTTGAGAAAGGCCTACAAAACTTTAAAGTAAAACTGACAGACAACAAAACTAAGTTGTCTAAAATATACATTTGTACAGCGACCTAAATTTGCTATATACTTTTTTTAAAAAACTAAACAGTGTGTTAAAAGTTTGTGAGTGACCCTAAGACAAAATTGATGTAAATTGTTATAAAAGTACATGAATTTCGGACCACCAGTCTCTCTTCTAATCACTGTTTTTTCTACGTCTGGTTGCACCTGAAACAACAAGTGAAGTTTGCCTTAAATTTCGATTTTATACATTTGATTTTTACCATAATTTGGCTTCTAAACATCTCACTCTTTCTCTTACTTCAACAGATCAACTTGATTTAAAATTGGGCTCCTCACACCTTTTCCAGGATTGAAAATCATAGGCGAAAGTTTTGACGGATCAAGTTAAGATTTTTCAATACAACATGTAATTTGGATTAAATTAGCTAAGCCCTAATTTTTTCCCCTCACAGTAAATTAAACCTAACTCCAATCGAAGCACATTATTGGAGACAAGCAAACACGGTGCTTAGAAATCTAGCGCAACGTCCAAGTTTGAAAATTCTCAATTGGTTTAGAGTATTAACCCAAAAACTACGATTATACGAAAAGAGTGGGAGATCACGCGCAGAACCTTTCCGGATGGAGGACTGGGACAAGTGAAGCGATCTCACAATAGCACCACAAAATTGATGCGGCCCCCAGATACTCGACGAGCAGGAACTGGCCGAACGGGAAAACGAAATCACCACTTTAAGGCACCCCCTAATTGCGGCACAAATCAGCCAAGCAACCCAAGGAAGCGTACACATTGTACCAGCAAACAGGCCTTACAGATACAAAAAACCCAGCCAAGTATAAAAAACTTGACCCAAAAAATTGAAAAAATTCAATCCGCATACTGTTAAAATGGAAAAAGACTATTTATTACGAAGAAGCGGTGTCGCGTTCAGATACGAGCCAGAAAAGGAGAACGCGGTCGTGTCATCATCATCAAGCACTAAGCGGACAGCAACGGACAATGTTGCCGACGGTCTATTCATTGGAGAGGATAAGCCAACGGTGCATAGTGAAAAACGTGCACGATCCAAGCGAGCGGCGAAGACAACAAATAGGTCACCAGAAAAACAGAAGAAGAGAGGAGTTGCTGAATCGAGCAGCGACTCAGACGACACGGCGGACGAAACAAGCACGCCAACGGCGAAACCGAGAAGCAAACCGGAAACACAAACGGAGACGGATAGTGACCCACGCTGGAGCCTGGACACGGTCGAATGGCCCCGAGAAGTGAGCACAAACGACGAAAAGCCACCACGCCTATACAAAATTAGGCGGGACGATGATCCGACGGATCCAAGAAGTTGAGGGAATTAATTAGAAACCGAACCAGAAAGAGGAGGGTTGAGAAAGGCCTACAAAACTTTAAAGTAAAACTGACAGACAACAAAACTAAGTTGTCTAAAATATACATTTGTACAGCGACCTAAATTTGCTATATACTTTTTTTAAAAAACAAAACAGTGTGTTAAAAGTTTGTGAGTGACCCTAAGACAAAATTGATGTAAATTGTTATAAAAGTACATGAATTTCGGACCACCAGTCTCTCTTCTAATCACTGTTTTTTCTACGTCTGGTTGCACCTGAAACAACAAGTGAAGTTTGCCTTAAATTTCGATTTTATACATTTGATTTTTACCATAATTTGGCTTCTAAACATCTCACTCTTTCTCTTACTTCAACAGATCAACTTGATTTAAAATTGGGCTCCTCACACCTTTTCCAGGATTGAAAATCATAGGCGAAAGTTTTGACGGATCAAGTTAAGATTTTTCAATACAACATGTAATTTGGATTAAATTAGCTAAGCCCTAATTTTTTCCCCTCACAGTAAATTAAACCTAACTCCAATCGAAGCACATTATTGGAGACAAGCAAACACGGTGCTTAGAAATCTAGCGCAACGTCCAAGTTTGAAAATTCTCAATTGGTTTAGAGTATTAACCCAAAAACTACGATTATACGAAAAGAGTGGGAGATCACGCGCAGAACCTTTCCGGATGGAGGACTGGGACAAGTGAAGCGATCTCACAATAGCACCACAAAATTGATGCGGCCCCCAGATACTCGACGAGCAGGAACTGGCCGAACGGGAAAACGAAATCACCACTTTAAGGCACCCCCTAATTGCGGCACAAATCAGCCAAGCAACCCAAGGAAGCGTACACATTGTACCAGCAAACAGGCCTTACAGATACAAAAAACCCAGCCAAGTATAAAAAACTTGACCCAAAAAATTGAAAAAATTCAATCCGCATACTGTTAAAATGGAAAAAGACTATTTATTACGAAGAAGCGGTGTCGCGTTCAGATACGAGCCAGAAAAGGAGAACGCGGTCGTGTCATCATCATCAAGCACTAAGCGGACAGCAACGGACAATGTTGCCGACGGTCTATTCATTGGAGAGGATAAGCCAACGGTGCATAGTGAAAAACGTGCACGATCCAAGCGAGCGGCGAAGACAACAAATAGGTCACCAGAAAAACAGAAGAAGAGAGGAGTTGCTGAATCGAGCAGCGACTCAGACGACACGGCGGACGAAACAAGCACGCCAACGGCGAAACCGAGAAGCAAACCGGAAACACAAACGGAGACGGATAGTGACCCACGCTGGAGCCTGGACACGGTCGAATGGCCCCGAGAAGTGAGCACAAACGACGAAACGCCACCACGCCTATACAAAATTAGGCGGGACGATGATCCGACGGATCCAAGAAGTTGAGGGAATTAATTAGAAACCGAACCAGAAAGAGGAGGGTTGAGAAAGGCCTACAAAACTTTAAAGTAAAACTGACAGACAACAAAACTAAGTTGTCTAAAATATACATTTGTACAGCGACCTAAATTTGCTATATACTTTTTTTTAAAAAACTAAACAGTGTGTTAAAAGTTTGTGAGTGACCCTAAGACAAAATTGATGTAAATTGTTATAAAAGTACATGAATTTCGGACCACCAGTCTCTCTTCTAATCACTGTTTTTTCTACGTCTGGTTGCACCTGAAACAACAAGTGAAGTTTGCCTTAAATTTCGATTTTATACATTTGATTTTTACCATAATTTGGCTTCTAAACATCTTACTCTTTCTCTTACTTCAACAGATCAACTTGATTTAAAATTGGGCTCCTCACACCTTTTCCAGGGTTGAAAATCATAGGCGAAAGTTTTGACGGATCAAGTTAAGATTTTTCAATACAACATGTAATTTGGATTAAATTAGCTAAGCCCTATTTTTTCCCCTCACAGTAAATTAAACCTAACTCCAATCGAAGCACATTATTGGAGACAAGCAAACACGGTGCTTAGAAATCTAGCGCAACGTCCAAGTTTGAAAATTCTCAATTGGTTTAGAGTATTAACCCAAAAACTACGATTATACGAAAAGAGTGGGAGATCACGCGCAGAACCTTTCCGGATGGAGGACTGGGACAAGTGAAGCGATCTCACAATAGCACCACAAAATTGATGCGGCCCCCAGATACTCGACGAGCAGGAACTGGCCGAACGGGAAAACGAAATCACCACTTTAAGGCACCCCCTAATTGCGGCACAAATCAGCCAAGCAACCCAAGGAAGCGTACACATTGTACCAGCAAACAGGCCTTACAGATACAAAAAACCCAGCCAAGTATAAAAAACTTGACCCAAAAAATTGAAAAAATTCAATCCGCATACTGTTAAAATGGAAAAAGACTATTTATTACGAAGAAGCGGTGTCGCGTTCAGATACGAGCCAGAAAAGGAGAACGCGGTCGTGTCATCATCATCAAGCACTAAGCGGACAGCAACGGACAATGTTGCCGACGGTCTATTCATTGGAGAGGATAAGCCAACGGTGCATAGTGAAAAACGTGCACGATCCAAGCGAGCGGCGAAGACAACAAATAGGTCACCAGAAAAACAGAAGAAGAGAGGAGTTGCTGAATCGAGCAGCGACTCAGACGACACGGCGGACGAAACAAGCACGCCAACGGCGAAACCGAGAAGCAAACCGGAAACACAAACGGAGACGGATAGTGACCCACGCGGGAGCCTGGACACGGTCGAATGGCCCCGAGAAGTGAGCACAAACGACGAAACGCCACCACGCCTATACAAAATTAGGCGGGACGATGATCCGACGGATCCAAGAAGTTGAGGGAATTAATTAAAAACCGAACCAGAAAGAGGAGGGTTGAGAAAGGCCTACAAAACTGTAAAGTAAAACTGACAGACAACAAAACTAAGTTGTCTAAAATATACATTTGTACAGCGACCTAAATTTGCTATATACTTTTTTTTAAAAAACTAAACAGTGTGTTAAAAGTTTGTGAGTGACCCTAAGACATAATTGATGTAAGTTGCTATAAAAGTACATGAATTTCGGACCACCAGTCTCTCTTCTAATCACTGTTTTTTCTACGTCTGGTTGCGCCTGAAACAACAAGTGAAGTTTGCCTTAAATTTCGATTTTATACAGTTGATTTTTACCATAATTTGGCTTCTAAACATCTCACTCTTTCTCTTACTTCAACAGATCAACTTGATTTAAAATTGGGCTCCTCACACCTTTTCCAGGAATGAAAATCATAAGCGAAAGTTTTGACGGATCAAGTTAAGATTTTTCAATACAACATGTAATTTGGATTAAATTAGCTAAGCATTGCATGTAACATTTTCTGTAGCACCAACCCCCCCCCCTCCCACCTAATAGCTTGTTAGAGGGATATTAGCTTGACCGTTTTGACTTCAGTGAAATCAGATGTATGACTGTTTCTTTAAGATGGTGTGCCGCTGTGTTCGGGATGGAACGCTACAAGCAGAGACTGTACAGTTGAGGTGTCGAAACTGTACAAAAATGGCAACTTCACTTGTCCTTGCAACGCCGCTTGCAACGACGTACTCTTCTCCAAAGAGGCCTCAACTGCCGAGTGGCCGAATGTAAACTACACTCCCTATTTGATCGAGAAGCTTCGTAAGTACACCACATCAGATCGCATCACCGAGTACCTCCAGAAGATCGTGTCGGATCCTTCGGCCTCAGTTGAGTCGCTGAATACAAACATCAAGAAGAACTTCGTGCGTGTCGAAATCTACTATCAGAATCTAAATTTCCAGAAAATACAGGAAAAACCGAGTTACAGTACGACTCAATTGATTACTGATTTTGGCGGCAACATCGGACTCTGGATTGGCTGGAGTGTCCTGACGTTCCTGGAAATTTTCGTATTCTTCATCAATATGATGAAAGTTATCATTTTTGGCAGCGTTTGAGAGTTATTGTTACTTGAAAATCGCCCCAATTCGGTAAATAACTAACATGGGTGAATTAAGAGGAGGGAGATGCTGGCTAATACGATAGATACAATAGTCATTACACGCGCCAATTTAACTGAAAAAATTAATAATTTACTCCAAACTCCAACCGGCCAAATTTCAAATAAAAAGCTATAGTATGATATCTAGATTGTAGATTCAATGGTTGCGTAAGAATTTTTCTAGAGGGTTTGAAATTTTTTTTTAGGTTTAATAAGGTTTAATTATAACTTTTTTGATCTACTAACCGATTGCAGAATATGTTGATTGATTATTTGATAATAATTGCAACATTATTTTAAAATTTTTTTTACTGCTTTTAGAGGTTTACGTTTACACTGGTTTTGAGTTGCATGCTTTATTGCATGAACCACCACGTAGGAAAAGACCTTGGCAATGCGACTTCAAGAAAGACTTTAGGGGTGCTACTTACGAAAACATTTTGGGGTGCGGCGGGACAACAAAAATGCTTTGACGACGCAACTTTGCGCCTCGTCACGACAATTGAGAAAAGAGTTTGGCCACAGGTCTTAAGAAAAATTTTTACACCCTGCAACGACCCAAGAAAGTACTGTGGCGACTCGACATGCGGAAAGAATTTGAACCGCCGCGTGATTTAGAAAACAGTTCGGGAACGAAGCATGTAAAATGATTTTGCGCCGCGGAGCCTAGCGAAATTTTTTTTTGCTGCAGAACTCGAGAAAAGGCTGTACGCCGCGCCGCCACCAAGAAAAACTGCGCGATTTGGAAAGAGTTTGAGCCGACGCGCGCTTTAGGACTTACAAAAAACTTTGTTTGGCGACAGGACTTACTTTTGACGCTGCGTTAAAAAATATATTTTGGCGACGCGACGTACGAAAAGAATTGACACGGTTCAATTTCAAGGAAAGAATCTGAGCCGCGATTTGATGTAGGAGTCTTTTTGGCGGCGCATATTACAAAAAGACTATAATGCGCGGTGCAACTTTAAACGACTGCGATGTGGCTAGTCTTCACAAAACGGATTTAAAATTTGAAGGCGCGACATGAAGAAAAATTTGAAGGCGCGACATGAAAAAGAGTTTGTACCACGGTGCAGTTTTCTGACAAAATCCGTTTTTCTCATTTCTCCGCATTCCAGAAATATTTGATTGAGGGAAGATCTTTTTTGCGACTCAGAGTCCTTTTCTTGCGTTCAGAGTTTTCACTTGAGATCACTATTGCAGCCGAAACTGGCCAGACCGTGGTAGACCTAAAACTAGAGATAAAGTGCAGACTACGAGCAGTCGCGTGAATTACGACAAAACTTGACAGAGAAAATAATACTATGGCGGCAAGGTTTAAGGAGAAAGTGTCGGCACGACTTGAGAAATTATTTTGGCTCGCTGGTTTGCAGTTGCCAGCCAGTGGTGATAGTTTGCAGTTGTCGATATTAAATCTCTCCGTTCTTGAATTGCCAAATTTAGAACGCGCTGATCTCATTTTAAGCCGCGGAAATCGACCCGGGACTATGCTTCTGTAAGAGTTGAATATTCAGGACATACAATATCAATTAGAAAGAGCAAATAATCAGCTTTAGAGGCATTTAGCATGCAAATATAGTTTCTCAAAAGCATTTGACTTAAAGTAACTTCAGAACATAGGTAACAAGGGAGCAGTGATTTTTTCTGGGTCAAAAATTGATTTTTTGAGCCTGTTCAAATAAAACATCGAAACCCATTATGACCAAATTTTCTGCGCTGCACGCAAATTTTTGGGAAAAACAAACATGCCAAAAAGACGTTTTCAGGCACTTCTGAAAATTTTTGAGAAAAAATTGCTTTTTTTCTCTGAGTATGCTTCCCTTTCAAATTTAATATATATTGCAACCACAGGCGCCTTAAGAAAAATTGCACAGTCCGTTAGTCAAAAAATGATGATTTAAAACAGTCCCAGAGTGGAGATACTTTGGGTCGTCAGGGGGTCAAATTAAAGTCATAATATATTTTTCCTATTATAGAAAAATGAATTCCCTGCGGACTACAATTAGCTTTCAGATCCAACTCCAAAAAAGAAAGCCGTTCGCAACCTCTTAATTAAGTTTGTCTAATTGATGAATAGTCCAAGAGCAGAGCGGGTTTCAACCGAAAGAACTTTCGAAGAAAACAAAATACTCTTGCTTATTGTAGTTTTTTTATTCAGTCAAATTTCGTCGATCAAAAAAATAGTTTCTGATAAAAAAAACTTACGCACAATTGAAAATATTAATTTCCTTAAATCAAATATAAAAAGATATTTTACCTGCAATAACCATTTGCAATGTTCTGGGAGTTTAATATTGCCAATTTGGCCATGCTCTGGACTAATTTTTGCGCGTTTTACCGGTGTTGTTCATAACGCTGAAAACTTAAGGCATATTATTTAAGCGTGGCGTATTATCCCACACTAAAACATCGCTCCAAATTGAATTGAGTGTAGCTAAACGGTTGCATTAATTTCGTACGACTCAATTTCTTACACTTGATCTTTGATATTGCTTAGAATTTTTATTTTTTCAAGATTTTCTTTTCCCAAAAACTATTCGATATGAATTAAGGGACAGTCTGATTATTCAGGTATTTGCCCTGTTTACGAACAGTCTTGATTTTTAGTAATAATTGTTTTAATTACGTAAACGATTCGTAAGTATGAAAAAATGTTTTGAAATCAACGAAATTGATGTTTTCAGAAAAAAAGCCGAAAAGTTTGCATATGAGCTATGATTTCCGGGTTTCGGCCTGTTATTAGATAACCATGTATACAAACTCGTCGACAAATGTTGTGAATCGAAATTGGAGAGTAAACTTACGAAATAAATAATAAATAACTATGTACTTCTTCCTTGTCTCGATCCTGAATGGTAAATTTTTTATTTGTCCGCTCAATGACAAGTATGATACTTGAATTAGACTACTGAAATTGATCACGCTTTTAGCAGGAAAAGATAACCCGTTTGTAGTGGGCTTAAACTGACGGACTGTATTTATACTGCAGGCTCCTCTTTTCACCGGGTCGAGGTGCTCGATTTATGTTTCGATCTACTCGACCAAAAACTGGTATGATTCGACGGTCTCGATCAAATTTATGTTTCGACTTTCTCAACCCACCAAAAAAAAAAATTTGACTTTGCTTGACTCATTTCAGATATGTTTCCACTTTCTCGACCAAAATTTGATAAATTTTTATATCTTGAGTGCCTTGACCGTCTTTTAAAAACTAATTTGTTCTAACTCGCATTTATATGTTTGACTCTATCGACCCAAATTGAGTTTGTTTTGACTATCTCGATTATCTCGACAAATAAAAAAATCTTTCTCGCTTTATTGTCCACTTTAGTTGCTCGTTGCTCCAAAAAACTGTTCAACATCCTTCATCCTTGGTCTCTCATTGAAAACACATCTGCTATAATTTTTTGTTACAAATAATGGAGATGTTTTTTTTCAAATTTTGCTTATGTGTAGTTCTCAGTATCAATCAAATAGCTGAGATAAAGAGACGGTTTTTATTGCGCCTGAACAAAGTTTTTCCTCTCTTTTGTTAATAATTCGTTGGTACAGTAAACTTCTGAAAACAGTAACAAAAATTTCCAAAGATCTGCTCGAACAATGTTTCGAATGTGCTCGACGACCAATGCTTCAACAGTGCTCGAATTATGTTTGTGCTCGACCTCAGTTTCGACTGTGATCGATCTATGTTTTGACTATGCTCGACATATGTTTCAACTTTCTTAATCAAAAATGGGTATATTTCGCCTGTGCTTGATCTATGTTTTGTTTTCTATTATTTCTTCACTATCAAGTAACATGAGTAAATTGTTAAAAACTTATATTGATTGCTAACTAATCATTATAATTAGGATAAACTTTGAAGATTTTTGGTTACTTCACTTGAGCCCTTCTTACTAACTGATCCAGGCTAAAACAATTATAAGACTAGTAATTTCTAAAATAGTATCTAACGATCTACTTGTGTTCTAATTATACCTGAACCTTGTGGAATGTTTTACTATTCTCCAATCCTTGATCACAAATAAAACCCCTAAGCAAGATTAAGTAAGTTTTCTTTCAAAAATATTTAGCCAGGAAAAAGTAAACATCATTCTAACGACTCGATATCTCTCCAACCCGTCATGTCATCCTCGACAATCTATGCCTCAATTTTCGATAACCACACAACAACAGTAAGAACTAACAGTTTACGAAATAAAACTCTTACCCCTGAATTTTGAATTTTGCATCCCTCATCCTAAACATTATGTCAAGAGATAATTTAGGCAGTAATGATATTTTTTTTGTGATGATGCTTGCTTTGAAAAATAAAATAAACTATAAGAACATGTAAATGCAAAATTGCTCTATAGAAAACGTTTTACGAGCTGGATCTCGCAATTTTGTGTTAGTTTTCTTCGCGAATCTGGATTGAAACTGTTGATTTGAAAACTGATATTTGAGGAAATTTCGGTAGATTTACGGTTAAAATTGGAAAAAATAAGGTTGTGCTCGACCTATGTTCCAACTGCCCTCGACCTATGTTCAAATTTCTTGACCAAAAACAGGTACATTTCCACTTTGTTCTTCACTTAAAACTGCTTCTCGACGTCGAAAAATCAGTGGCAAAGCTGCACTTGCTCTGCTTGCAAAGTCGAAACATAATACGAGCACTTCGGCCCGGGTTACTGCATTTATAATTCATCTTTGTGTATACACTTGTATTTGCGCGGCAACACCCTAGCCTCCCCGGAAGTGAGTCTAACATGAGCTTTACTTATTGACCGATAAGTAACTTATTGACCGGTTGTCACTTCGCGCTCTTGTTTAAGGAAACGTCATACTCTTGCAACCGACACAGTAAATTGCGTTAATGTAGACGTCTGCAACCCGGTTCGTTCATTTTTCTCAAAACCTGTCTCATTTTTCTCAGAAACTTGTCTGTTTCTGGTGCTATTTGTTTAAGAAACTGGTCAAGTAAAAACTTTTTTTGATTTTTCTACTTTTGTCTCCTTTTAGATTTTTATTTGTCAAATAAAACAAATGAAAAAATTATTTAGGAAAACTCAAAAACAAAAAAATATATAGGTAAAATTAAGTTTGTTGTTCATTAACAAAATGAACAAAGTTTTTGAAATTCTGAAAAGAAGTTAGATAAATTGAAAACGCTGAGAGAAGGATTCATAGGGTCGACAATGAATTATCAGAGTTGGGAACTCTAAAACCTGGTATTAGTGCCTGCATTCACTTTCACTTTTCTTTAAAAAATGATGTGCTCCACTCTACATTTTG